AAAAAAAAAAAAAAAACAGTGTAATGAGGTTCAGCCAGTGTTGCTTCTTTTTATTTTTTCTTTTTATATGTTTATTTTTGGAGGTAGTGCTTGGATTCAACCCAGGGGTGCTCTACCACTGAATTAAACCCATAGCCTTTTTTATTTTTTATTTTGAAACAGGGTCTCACTAAGCTGCTGAGGCTGGCCTCAAACTTGTGATCCTCCTCCCTCAGCCGCCTGGCCTGGTGCTGCATGAAACTGCAGCCACCATTGAGGTATATTCAGAAACAAAGGTTATAAAATTATAACCTTGAATCTAAGCTTCCTGCCTTTACAGCTAGATGATTACAAAGTGGTATTATGAGTCTATTTAAATAGAAAAACTAAGATAATGGTTTCTCTTTCAGCTAAACAGAAAGAATGTACTGACAACGTGAGCAGAGCTTTTGAACAAGGTATTCTATTTTTTGACTTTGTTAAATATGGAAAGAAATTTTAAGCATTGAGGCATAACTGTTCATTCAATGAGTAGCTTTTATATACTTATCCTCTGATGGGTACCTGGAAATATAAAATATGTATGAATTATACTTCTGTCTTTAAAGAGTTATAGTCTTGCTATAGAAACAAACTGTGAACCAAAAATAGAAATATCCCAGTGAAACATTAAATAGGAGGAAGGTACTTCCATTCCACTTTAGCAAGAAACTAAGGTAAGGTATAGAAGTGAAATATTGGGCCGGGGATATAGCTCAGTTGGTAGAGTGCTTATCTTGCAAGCACAGGGCCCTGGGTTCAATCCCCAGCACGACCAAAAAAGAAAAAAAAAGTGAAGTATTTAAAGTCTATCAACCTAGAATTCTGTACTATGGTATCATCCTTCAAATCTGAAAGGAAAGTACTTTCTTAGAGAAACAAAAACTAAAGGAATTTGGTGCCAGCAGACCTGCCTTACGAAAAAAGCTAAAAGGAGTTCTTTAGAGAGAAGGAAAGACTGGGTATGGCTTAGTGATAGAACACTTGCCTGGCATGCACAAGACTCTGGATTTGATCCCCAGCACTGCAGGAAAAAAAGAAATAGAAGAAAATGATACGGGTCTGAAATTTGGGTCTACGTAGAGGAAAGAAGATTATTGGAAAAGGAATAAATGAATGTCAAATACTTTTTTTTTTCATTATTCTCAATTGATCTAACAAACAAGTTCAAAACAGTAATAGAMGCCAAGTGCAGTGGCTCACATTTGTATTCTCAGCTAGTCAGGAAGTAGAGACAGAAGGATCACAAGTCTCAGGCTAGCCTGGGAACTTAGTGAGACCCTGTCTCAAAAAGAAAATAAAAGAGCCTGAGGGTGGCTGAGTGGTAGAGAGTCTCTGTGTGCAATCCAGTATGGGGTGGGGTCAAGGACAAGAAGCCCAGCCATACTCAGTGCCACATGTTTGTAAGCCACTACTGGGGAGGCTAAGGCTAGAGGATCACTTGAGCCCAGGAGTTCAAGACCAAAGGCAACAGTAAGACTCTCAAAAAAAGGAAAGAAATAAAAAGATGCAGGTTGGGCTGGGATATATAGCTTAGTGATAGAGCACAGTACGCCCTCAGTTTGATTCCCAGTACCACCCCCCCCCCAAAAAAAAAAAAAGCCTCACTATATAAATATAACGACATATAAGTTAGTGAAGTAAAGGAGTGAAGGGCCAGGGATAAGGCTCAGTGTAGAACACTTAACCTAGCATGTGTGAGGCCCTGGGTTCAAACCCTTACACCACCAAAAAATAAATAAATAAATAACCTGATAAACTGTATGTTTTACCCTAATTTTCAGATATTTGGATATTTAAAAAGTTGCCAGATACAGTGGTGCACATCTGTAATCCCACAACTCAGGAGGGTGAGGCAAGATGAATGCAAGTTCAAGGCCAGCCTCAGTAATTGAAAAAGGCCCTAAGATGGGCTGGGCTTGTGGCTCAAGCGGTAGCGCGCTCGTCTGGCATTCGTGCGGCCCGGGTTCGATCCTCAGCACCACATACCAACAAAGATGCTGTGTCCGCCAAATACTGAAAAATAAATATTAAAGTTCTCTCTCTCTCCCTCTTTCTCACTCTCTCTCACTCTCTCTCACTCTGAAAAAGGCCCTAAGAAACTTAGTGAGATCCTAACTCAAAATAAAAAGGGATGGGATGTGGCTCAGTGATAAAGTGCCTCTGGGTTCAATCCCCAGTACCAAAATAAATAAATATATACATGCCTATATACATACATAAATACAATAAAATAAATGTTAAGGGCTGGGGTTGTGGCTTAGCAGTAGAGCTCTCACCTAGCTTCGGCAAGGCCCTAGGTTCGATCCTCAGCACCACATAAAAATAAATTAATTAGCTAATTAAAAGATATTGTGTCCAACTACAACTAAACAACAAATATTTTTTTAAAATAAATATTAAAAAAGTAAGGATAGCTGGGCATGGTGGTGCATGCCTGTAATCCCAGCAGCTGGGGAGGCTGAGGCAGTTCTTCAGTGTCTCACTCAGTGAGACTCTGTCTCTAAATTTAAAAAGAAAAAAAGAAATGGTGTTCCAAGCTCCCTGCAGGCCCTTTCCTATTACATTACAGCTCCCTTTCACAGTGACCACTTCCCCAAATTTTCTATTAATCATTCCATTGCTTTTCTTGTAGTTTTAATGGATATAACAGTAAATCACTTTTGCATATTTTTTTAATCTTTGTATAAATAGCATCATAGTTTGTGTATTCTGAAACTTTTTTCTGACATTTTATTTTCAATCTGGGTAATTATAACATATCTTCACTTCAGCACTCATCACATTATTTTGTATTTATCTAAGTCTGGTTTTCTCAACCTCAGCATTACCAACATTTTTTTAAATTTTTTTTTTAGTTGTAGATGAACACAATACCTTTATTTTATTTTATTTATTTTTATATGATGCTGAGGCTCAAACCCAGTGCCTCACACGTGCTAGGCAAGCGCTCTACCACTGAGCTACAGCCCCAGCCCCACATTACCAACATTTTGAGTCAGATAATTCTTGGTCATAAAGGGCTGTCCTTTGCACTTTAAGGTATTTAGCAGCATCCCTGGCWTGTATCCACTAGATGCCAGTAACACCTTCCAGGTTACAGCAACTAAAAATGCCTCAGACATTGTCAGATGTCCCCTTGGAGGCAAAATCACGCTCACTTGAAAGCCACCAGCTTAGGGCATCATTCTGACTGAAAGCCACCTGAGGACWGCTCTGTGCCTTGGCACCTGTGTTTTGTTTTTGTTTTTGTTTTTAAGAGGAGAGAGAATTTTTTTTTTAATATTTATTTTTTAGTTCTCGGCGGACACAACATCTTTGTTTGTATGTGGTGCTGAGGATCGAACCTGGGCCGCACGTATGCCAGACGAGCACGCTACCGCTTGAGCCACATCCCCAGCCCCTTGGCACCTGTCTTAAGAGAAGCATCTGGTTCTTCTATGGCCTCCGCAGGGCTACCACCATATGTGTTAGGGGAAAACTGTTAAAACACAGTCCATTTATTATTTGGGACCCTCTCCAAACCCTGTAAACATGTGCTCTTGCCTCCTTTTGGTTAATCTCTTTGTCCCCTTAATAATTCAGATGTCCTCACTCCCCCCTTGCTGATTTTCTGAGTAATTGAGGACCCCTCCAACAACCCAGGCTTGGCTTTGATCTAGCTGCCATGGTTGCCAGAGTAGGTCTTATTCTTTCTTGCTTAAAATGAAGCCTGACGTCAGTGTCTCTTGTTTATTTCAGATGACTTTGAAGAAGCCAAGGAAATTTTAACAAAGATGAAATACTTTTCAAATATAGAAGAAAAGATCAAGTTAAAGAAGATTCCCTATAGTTAATTACTTATTTAAAGTTTTAAAAATAAATTTCCTGTATTCTTTTCTGGCTTCTGCTAATTGAAAATAGGTATGCTTTAACCTTTATATCATTTTATTTCAGTCTGTGGCTCAAGCTTTAATGGATGGCAAAATTCATTATGCTGGAGGAAAAACAATCAGGTCAGAGCTTGAATGGTCACTTCTTCAACTGACTTCATGTAATACCTGATACAGCAAACATCCCACCTAGGCCAGTGGATGAGGAGGTGGGGAAGGGACAACTTGAGGCCCTTTTTCTGCAGATGTCCAGATAGTGACTATTTTAGGCTTGATGGGCTTATATGACCTCTCTCATACTTCTCAACTCTGTCATTTTACTACAAAAGCAGCCAAGACAATATTTAAATGAAAGGATGAGTTCAGTGTTTCAATCAAACTTCATTTTCCAGGAAAAAAGAAAGAAAGAAAAAAGAGAGATAATGTTTTATTTACAAAACAGGCAATAAGCCAGATTTGGTCAGAGTTGACTAGCTTCTGCCCAAGAGCCACAACTTCTTTTTAATGGTATGACCTACACTTTGATGGGCAGTCCCCTTAGTTACTGTGGCCTTGGGTGTATTCTGTTTGATAAAAAGCAAAGCCACCTAGAGGTCTCTTTGGCCTGTAGATAATGCTAGCAAGAACTAGTCTGATAGTAAATGTTAGCCCTAGTTCTACTCCTCCTGGGTAGGGTGGAACAACTTTACTTATTCTCTGGATAGTTGACACTCTCTTGTCACTATTTCCATGGTCTTCTAATTCAGCCCAAAACAGCTTTACCTCCCACTTTTGGATCTTAAGAAATTCAGTTTAAGTTTTTGATCCATGTCCAGGAAAAAAAAAAGTTGGTGTTTTTTGTTGCTTTTTTTGTGGTTTTTTTGTTTGTTTTTTGTTTTGGTTTTTTAAGTCTCTGATCAGGAAAGATTAAAATAGCAAACAGAAAATTCTGATTAAAAAAAAATACATTCAAACACTTCTAGAAAGAATCACTTACTAAACCAAATTGTTCAAAATCTTAAAATTGCAGTTATTTTGCGGTTCCTTGTCATTGTCTAAAAATTTGTATTTTGTGAATACTGATCCCATTATACTCAGTGAACATTTTAGTATTCAAGAGGCAAATTAATTAGAGCAAGTGTTGGACCTAAAGGTACTTAGGACTATCTATACAATCTCCACCCCCCACCCCTGACCCCTTAAAACTGACAAGAATGTCTTACTTGTCTGAAAACACACCAGGAGTCCTTTAAGTAAATGATTTTAATGCAAGCAAATGTCCCAAATACCTTTAGTACTTTTGCAAAGAAGGAGGAATGAAATGAAAAGAGGTTTGAAATACTTCTGTAGACAATTTTCATTCCTTCCTCAGAACAGTTGTCAGGACCCAAACAATCTGACCACAAAAAGAAATTGCCTCAAACACATCTTTGGAGGAACTTGAAAAAAACTTTCCCTTTACCTGTTGCCATCAGCTGGAAAAACTGCTAGGCCCCACAGCAGACCATCTCTGATTTGGGGGATTAATTTTAAAACACTGTTCTGGGTCATGGCTTCTGAGGTCAGTGGGATTGTTTTTTTCTTCTTCCAAATGCCTTCCCTTTTTGTCTAAATTCCAAGTTTAGTGGGACTTCTAAATCCAGGAACCCTTTCTAGTGTTCCTTAACAAAGCCCTGTGGGAGATCTGTTGCTAGATGTCTAAAAACTTGTCAGCCTCACTTGGATTTGTTTTTGACCAACAAGTGAAGCAACTTATTCACCCCACTTCCCACACCTATCTTAATAATAGTATCAGGAAAAAAACAGAGGTTTTGACCACTTTGCAGCTATGTCTTCCCAGGCTTTGGTGCCAAACAGTGCTGGTGTTGTGGACTGAATGTTTGTGTCCACCTCCCCAAAATTCATATTCTAGTCCATGATCAGTTGGCCATATTGCTTGGGGCCTATGGTGAGGGAGCACATATTTTAAAGTCCTAACATCTAAGACAGCTATATATGGAGATGGGGCCTCTGAGAAAATATTAGATTCTGCAACCAAACTGACCACGTTGGCACTTTAATCTTGGACTTCAAGGCTTTGGGATTGTAAGAAAATGAACTTCTGGGGCTGGGGATGTGGCTCAAACAGTAGCGCACTTGCCTGGCATGYGTGCGGCCCAGGTTTGATCCTCAGCACCACATACAAAAAAACAAAGATGTTGTGTCCGCCAAGAACTAAAAAATAAATATTAAAATTCTCTCTCTCTCTCTCTCTAAAAAAAAAAAAAAAAAAAAAAGGAAAAGAAAATGAACTTCTGCTATTTAAGCGGTCTAGTTTCTTGTATTTTGTTAATAACGGCCCAGGCAAGCTAATACACCTACCTGGCTTTGAATCCAGCTCTCCTACTTATTTTCCTAATTTTTAAAAGGGTGATGGAGGGAGGAAGGTTGATAAGGACTAGGATGTGACTCAGTGGTAGAGCACTTGCCTAGCACTTGTGAGGCCCTGGGTTCAATCCTCAACACCACCAAAAGTTAAATTAAAAAGTARGTCATTGGGGCTGTGGTTGTGACTCAGCGATTGAGCGATTGCCTGGCATGTTCAAGGCCCTGGGTTGGATCCTCGGCACCACATAAGAAAATAAATAAATATTTAAAAAATTAAAATGGGTGATTTTCTTAGTCTGCATCACTGTGACAAAATACCTGAGATAATTTATAAGGSGAAAGATTTATTCTAGCCCAAGTTTTGGAGGTCTAGTCCATGATCAGTTGGCCATATTGCTTGGGGCCTATGGTGAGGGAGCACATCACAGTAGGAAGCACCTACAGGAAAAGATTGTTCACCTCATGGGGACCAGAAAGCAGAAGAAAGAAGGGGTCAGGTGTCAGAACCTGACATAGAAGCAGTTACCTGAGCTGAATCAATGTCTTGGAAGGATCCCCTTCCAAGGAACAACTTACTGCTGACTTAATTTCTTATAAGTAGACCCCACGTCTTAAACCTTCCACCACCTCCCAAAAGCACTACAGTTTAGGGACCAAGCCCTTAACCCGTGGTCCTTTAAGGCATATTTCAGATCCAAATTCTAGCAGTGATAATATTAGTACCTATCACACAGGTTATTGTGAAGATTAAATAAAGTTAATTATCTATGGGAACTATTAGCTTAGTACATGACACATAGCACTCAAATGTGCTTTGTAAATTATAATTACTTCTAATTTGTGTGTGTATGCATGCACACATGCACACTCACGTGTGTGCTGGGGATCAAACCAAATACCTTGCACATTCTAGGCAAGTGACCCACTAGTGAACTACACCCCCAGTCATACATTACTATTTTTATTTTTATTTTTTTAATATTTATTTTTTTAGTTGTAATTGGACACAATACCTTTATTCCATTCATTTATTTTTATGTGGTGCTGAGGATCRAACCCAGGACCTATGTGTGCTAGGCGAGCACTCTACCRCTGAGCCACAATCCCAGCCCCACTATTTTTATTTTGATGACAAAAATCAAGCCTTTCACAACAGAGAAAATATTATCCTTTTAATGAAAATCCAACTCTGTACTTTCACAGCSCTGGGAGAGATAATTCAGATTTGACTGTTGTCAGATGCTTCCTCTCTGAGGAGATGACCAATAACCAGAACAATAATAAAACTTCCTACCTGCTGCATGATTACTATATACCGCTGTACTCACTATTTTACATTGTGATCCTTTAAATTAAACCCAGTTCAACTCATTTTCCAGATAAACAGGCTGCTCCAAGGTAAGAGAGTCAAGATTCAAAAGGAGGTCTGTCTGCAAAGCCTGTGATCTTAGGAAGAATGAAACAACCAAAATTAAGTACCATCTGAGAAGTTAAGGAGTTCCTGCCAAGAGGTGCCATTCACCAGGGCGTGCACCACACCATAGGCAGGTTTTGATTTGAGGTCCTATCTCCAAAGCCTGTGCAGGCAGCTTCCCTAGGCCTCAGGAGGGGGTCACTCCCTCTGTGGTAACCACGGAAGAAGAGGAATAGAATCCAGACAAACAAAGAGAAGCTGTCATGGGCCCCCAAGACCACCCAGAGGTTTAATGGTTTCCTGGAAAAATTCATAGGACTCAGTATATGTAGTCCTACTCATGTCTGTTTTTTTTTGTTTTGTTTTGTTTTGTTTTGTTTTCCCTCCTGGCAAAGAGAAACATTATGCTTTCTGAGCCACCAAAGCAGTCATGCCACCTAGTGCGTTCAATGGCAAATAACAAATGGCTGCAGCCAACTTGGACCTAAGTTTCCTGAGTAAAAAATTCCTTTGTCCTGCCACTTTGGAGGACATGTTGGTTATATCAGATGTCATCGCGAAAAAATAAAGACATCATCTTTTCCTTTCTAGGAATCACTTCTGGAAAGCCAGGGAGACTCAGAAATTAATGGTGAACCTCAAGAGGGATAAAGGGGCCAGGCAGGAAACACACTATGACAGTGCTGGAGGTGGACCTGAAAGGAGAGGGCACAGTCTTTGAGGAATTGGAGAGAATGTGCCATCTCCAAACTGGGGACAACAGGGAAAGAAAGACATTGATTCAGCTCTGGTAACTGCTTCTATGTCAAGGTTCTGACACCATGTCAATGATCTCTTGATCATTTTTTTAAAAGCTGGAATTAGGATCTTTTGGAGGAGGAGTGGCTACTAGAGATTGAACTCAGGAGTACTTGACCACTGAGCTACATCCCCAGCCCTATTTTGTATTTTAYTTAGGGACAGGGTCTCACTGAGTTTTTAGTGCCTCGCTTTTGCTGAGGCTGCCTTTGAACTCATGATCCTCCTGCCTCAGCCTCCCAAGCTGAGGCATTCACCACCAAGCCCAGTAGAATTGGGATTTTTTTTTTTTTAAGAGAGAGTGAGAGAGAGAGAGAGAGAGAGAGAGAGAGAGAGAATTTTTTAATATTTATTTTCTAGTT